TTATATCTTATTACTCGAAAAAGTACTATAAAACGCAAAAACAAACTACGAACTAAAAGTCCTCGAAGAACTCTACGAACTAGAATAAATTATCGATAAATAAATAATAGATAAAGAAGTTAAATACCTTATTAAATAGAAAGGCTATATAAGTAGCGAAAATATATAGGAACCCGCTAAATACCTTAAGAATTACCGCTACCTATTACGATAGTATTATTAAAGGGAAATATATCGGGTATTACGCTCTAATCGATAACCCTAAACGCACCTAACTCCTAAGCACGCCTAACTACCTATTACTCCTTAAGAATAGCCTCTTCCTAAGAACGCACCCTATCCTCCTTATCTAACTCACGTATACCACGAGATACTAACTCCGAGGTCCGACTTCGAAGTAATTCTTATTAGCGACGAAGACGCTAAACGCGCCCTAGAGCCTCTTAGAGCTCCCTCTCGGATTTTTCTAAATCCGCTTTTACTCGTTTCTACTTAGATACCGCACGCGTTACTAAAACGTAAGTTAGTATATACACGAAAAACACGTATAGTACTTATAGTACGACGCTACGCTAGTACTATTATAAGTCTTCTTTATTTCGATATATAACGTATAATAACGAGAATTACTACTTATATAATAAACGCGCTTAGCGCGATAATAACGAGTATAGGGTATCTTACTCTTAGAACTATTAAGATAAATAGCTTTAATTAGGATAACGCGACACGAGTCGTTAGTTCTCTTATAAAAAGAGGGATATTTTTATATATAATTAGGTATAATAAAAGGGAGAAGTTATTAAATACGACTTACGAAAGACGGCTAACGGGTTTTAGCTAATTCTAGGACAGAATCTCGGAAGGGGAGATATTATATTACGACCCGATATACAACCGTATACGCCTCTTATATACCCCCTGCTTTTTTCCTCCTATTATACGTTACCCGTATATTACGTAGGATAGACGACTATAGGCGACTAGCGACTATAGTCGACTACGCTATAAAAGCGCTCGTAGACGATAATCGACTATCGTCGACTATATAATATTTACTTAATATATAGGAAGCCTAGCTTTACTATAGTTAGTCTCTACCTAGCTCCTTAGCTATTAATATAATTATCTACGCAAGATCTACTATCTCGCACGTAGACTATAACCCGACCGCTTAAGTTAACGATATCCTAGTATACTTAGTTTATAAACCGACCTTAGATCTACCTACCCTATAGCTAGTCTGACCCGAACGTCACATAAACCCTCTAACTAATCCTTAGGCCGGAGGAGAATACCTATATATAAATAATTACCTCTATAAACGCTTTATTATAAATATAGAAAGGGCTTATAGTATATATAAACGAGAAAGTACTTAATAAAGCGCGGAAGCGTAACCCTAAAAATAAGTTATATTAGATACTAAAGTATACGAATTATAATAGTAGTCGGAATCGAGGGCCTGCTAATCGCGTTATTAGCGTGAGTTATTACGAATATAAATACTAACTTTATTAATATATCGTAGGCGATATAGTATAAACTAGTATAAAAGAAGAACCTTACTCTTACGTAGATATTTATTAAACGAGAAGCTATTACGATAGATATACTTATTATCTTAGAAACTCTATAGACTCGAGCTATTAATATTCCCTATATATTATTAGATCGCGTGGTATTCTATAGCGTTATTCTCGCTAGCGCTATCGGTAGCTTCCGCCCTAAGGTTCTTATATAAATAAAGTACTAAGATATAAAGCTTATCGTAGTACGGGATCCTAACGGTTAGTAACGGACTAAGCTTATTACTAATATTATTATTTATTATAATAAGAAAAGCCCGTATAAAGCACGCGATTCCTAAGATAAGATATACGTTATAATATTCCTTTTTTATACTTAGTACCTAATAAGGAGAGTTTAGGTTATTATTTTTTATTACTTTAGTACTAGATAACCTTATATATCTTATACGCTTGCTTATTTCGCGAGCTCTTACCGATTAGGTATTTATAAGGCCCTTTACTTCTATAGAGGATTTACTTACCTTACTATATCTCGAAGGCGTAGACTATATTAAAGTATCGTAGAACCTAGAGATAGCCGAAAAGGATATTATTTTAATTAAGTATTATTAATACTATAAGATTTAGAATTTAGTTATCGTAGCTATTAGATTCCGCGACGGACTACGTCCGATATCGATAAAGGTAAGGGCTAGCGCCTATATCGGTAAGCTCCTCTATACCGCTTATATACTTAAAACTTATATCTTTAGTAGGGGCATTAGCTAGGCTACTCCGTAACTATATTCTTTCGAATATAACTTAAGTATACGAACGGAACTACTAGCTATAATATATTCGAGAAAACTTAATAAGAGTTATATTCCGAGACCTTATCGATAGTAACGAGGAACTCTACTAAATCCTTAAGAATATATTATTTTTATATAATAAGGACGCTTTACTCTATGTAAGTAAAGAAGAATTCGATAGCTTTTAAAAGTATAACGATATAAGAGAATTACGATAGTAATATAATACGGAGGTAGCGAGATCGTCGAGCGACTCGACCTAAGCTAAAAAGACTACCGCTAAAATATAATAGACTCTAAGCTAGCTCTATTAACTTAGAGTCGCGGAGCTACGAAAAGTATATTTTAAAGAGGTTAATAAGCTACGTAATACTAGGTAGAGTACCGAGGTAGTACGTAGCGCTACTACCACGAAAAATTACCGCGCTATCTACCGTTAAGGTTAATACTAGGATATTATAAAGATAGGAAAGCTCTTAGAGAAGTATCGAGGCCTTAAAATAAAAGAAGCCGAGGTCCCGGAGCCTATATTTAAGGCCTTAATTATAGCTTATCTATAAGGCGAGGCGATCTATATATCTATTAACGAAGCGGTAAGTTCTATAACGATTATATAGAAAGATCTACCGTCGAGAGCGAGACCTTTAGGATAAATCCGCGAGAAGGCGACGTGCCTTCTCTATAGTAAGACCTTAGGGGATCGCTTAAAATTAACAAGGTATATTAAATCTTATTATAAGTTCGAGAAACCTTTTTAATACCCTATATATAAGTCGTAAGGCACCGATATACTCGTACCTATCGGAGGTCTAGCTTAGGCTACTCACGTAGGATAAGTTTATAAGCAAAAGAATATCCTAACCCTTACGGGAGCTAAGCCCTTGCTAGCTATATTATACTCGATATATAGTAAGTTATATTCCGGAAGGCTAGGCATTAGCTTATACTTATATTCATTTTATAGACCTAAAGGTTATTTTAAAAAGACATAGACCTATATCCTATATAACTTTAAGATAGAGGAGGCGGTAGAAGGCTAGATTAATCACTGCGAAAGGCACTGGAAAGAAGGTGGTAATAAGATATGCTCTAGGATTTCTTATAAGAATACGGAGTATAGCGCACTAGATACGGATTGGTCCTCCCTGGGCATAAAGCGAGAGCGAGAGGAAGAGTTAGGGCCTTTATACGATGACAAGCGCTAGAAAACGATCTAGGGGTTTATACTAATGGAATTAAAACACCACAGCGACCGTTATCGTAGAGCCAAAGCCACGGCTTTTCTCAATATTAGAGTTTAAGACTAACCGACAAAAGCACTTTAAATCACGGGGCGTGTGCCCTTCGCATGATCCGAACTTTACCTAAGAAGGTGCTTAAATACGAAGGGTAGGTATGTGGGTGGGTTCGGCGGCTAGAACGTGCGGCGCTTACTTACTTAGTCTCAGTGAAATAGAACGCACGAAAGCAGCCCGAACGCTTATTTAGACGCGAATCGACATATTAAGGGGGTTGTGGGAGCCTTCAGCGCGCTATTCTTGAGTTCGAGCAGTTCAACCACTGCTTATTAAACACATATTATGGCAAATTCAGCAGTCAACCACCCTGGCACCGTTGCAGGACATCCACAGTCGCTTGCTCAGAAAAGCTTACTTAACGCACGCCGAGGTCGCAAATATCGTGCAATAAAGTTATCCAAAAGACGCCAGACATTATTAAAAAAAGTCTATTAGCTTTAGCGAGACTGTGAAGTGGACGTATGCATAGTTATAAGAAGCCGAAGATCTAATTAAGTATGGAAGTACTTAAACGACTTTGTTCCACCCACCGAAAAAGAGCTAGTAAGTTAATAAAAGGCAATACTCGATCTAAACTTATGAAATTATAGTTGTTAACATATCCTCCCCCTATCATTCTCAATCCAAGAGACGTGGAAGTGTCTAAGTGCTAGGTGCTCTTTCTCCAAGAGCTCCTATTCAGTGAATATCGCAAGGTATCTCCTGGCTCTAGGTTTCTATTGAGTAGCTGAAAGCCGTCGCCGGCCACCTCCTTCCCGAGTTCATACGCCACTAACCCGGCAGTATCCCCGTCTGGTAGCGCCACGAGGACGTCGCCCAGTCGAATGTCGCGTGGCGAAGGCTCGGTCAACATCGCCGGCCTGGAAGACGTAGTTATCGCCGCACTGCATGGGAAAGTGATGATGTGCTTCCGATCGAGCTGGCACACGGCGGTGGGGGCCTCGATCGTGAAAGAGGCCCGCGATCCACGCGATGGTGTTCTAAGATTCTATCAAAACAATATGGTCTTGGCTGGATCCTCGAAGAGACACGAATGCCTCATTCTAACAGCTCTACGTATTTTTGAGATCTGAGTGACCCATCTAATCCATCGCATCCTACGGCTTGACTGAGGTTCCCAGCGGCTTAAGTTACCCATTCGCTAGAAGCCCCCAGGCTCTGTACGAGAGATAGGAATAAGACAACAGCATGGTGGGCTCGTCCCGCTCAGAGCAACGGACGTCCCGATATAGGCAACGCCCCCCGAGCCAATCGTCGCAAAACATTTTCCAGATAAGGGTATAAGGGTATTGTCTTAACCAATTGAACCAATCTCACCTCTATAATGAGATTTTAAATGAACTTTCTGGGGTTCCATCGGACTTCAAGAAAAACATGGCGTCAGGCGTGAATGCGCCAGCGCTAGTTGACAGTAGAAGCGGGGATTCGGCTCCACAGGTTGGGCGTCCGCCCGCTTACGAGTACATGTCCGCTTCCCGCCGCTAGCGGTCTTAGCAATCCGTAGTCAGCATGGCCACGGTGTGATTCACGTAAGGAATAAAGTTTGCTCGTGCTTTGGAAAAAGAGGGCCTTTTTTGTGTTCTTGTGACGCTATGGACAATTCAATCCATTAGTCTGAATTGTACGCAAATATTTGATTGAAAAGGAAACTACTACGTGGCCTTCATTAATGTATCAAATTGCTCGAGGATATCGATATAACGCCCTGGTCAGCATATTAGTATGCGGCATTTGGGCTGTTGTCGGGTGTTGAGGAGGGCGCTATGAGAGTTGAAATCAGGCTTGGTTGAGCAACTCACTAGGACTTTCCCATCTCGTTCCGAGGAGTCTGAGCGCTCCTCGAATAACAACAAGCATGGACTTGCCTTCTTGGCTCCCAGATTCTCGGATCCACCAAAGACAAGCTGCACCGGCCTGATATAGGCAATTGCTTATAAAGGGGCTCATCTTTAACATACCTCCTAGCTGCGCAATGGCCTCAACACGTTGAGCAAGCTGGACCACATGCTTTAATACCTCTTTTAAGCCCGCAATTGCTTGTTTCTGCATTTCCAACAGGTTGGCATTTCCCCTATGCTCCTCAGGGCTATCATCGGCGCAGGAATATCGGCCGTAGAGAGTCAAAAGCGCACTAAAGCATACACCAGCAGCAGTGAACAATGGAAGTTGAGCTGTCACATCGCATGACCGTTCGATAGCTGCATGGGATTCATCCCTAATCAGCGACGACAAAACTAAGAGAGTACGGTGAAGCTGAATGGCTTCTTGGTACAGGATATCAGCATCAGTGTCGCGGTCCCTGATTTGTCGAAGGACTCGGGAGAGTAAATGCGAGGCCTGACAAGCTCGAGCGAAAGCGGATGCTGGTTCGTGTACACTAGAAGCGCTCACTAGTGGTTGTACTGATGCCAGATCCTGCGATTGTTAACATTATGTCTTGTAGAGGGCTTCTCCATGTGGCATACTCCTTGATCCCAAAATCTATCATCGATGGGCAGAAAATCATTCGGGCTCGCATCATCGCATCCCATTGGGCGGTTGCAGCCCAGGTTGACATACCTAACATTTCAGTCGGACAGACTCTCTAAAAGCAACAGTTTACCAGGCATGTGACATACCTGTCTAATATAATGATGCTCCACCAAACACGACGCCGCTCTTCCAATTCGGTGACTGTACCTACTGCAACTTAGCAGCTCATTCCGCCTGCTTTGATAGTACGAAAAACCTACTGGGTGGGCCTATGAGCTGTGGGGTTTTGTCCACAAAGTGCAGACTCATCATGTGCCCAAGCCTTGCGCAATGGCCAACGGTGAGATAGGCCGCGGGATAAATTGCGTTTGTAATCTCGTATAGGGCCACAAGTAGGATGGCTTGCAAGGCCCTCACAGAAAGCACGCCGCTTCTCTCTACATCAACGCATCCTGCCTTGACGCGCCAATACAGCGCTCGGTGGGCTGGCTCATTGTCGACATCAAGCTGCGTGTGGAGCTGTGAAGCGGACAGAAAAAGTATTGTATCCGCGCGGGTAGGGGACGTGGTGGTGGAAAGCTCCTGATACAAGCGTAACTTGGACACTGGAATACGCGTCAGCCTTGGGACATTAATAGCCTTGGACAATCACAGCGGCTTACCAACTGGAAAATACATATGCGTCGACTGAAAATAAATGTCAACTTCCTGCCTTATTTGAGCTGGGTGTCTGATGTAGCGCATGAGGTCAGGTAAGAGCGCTGTGTCTGACTCGTCTGTGACCGCTGGTCGTAGCAGCTTGAAAACCTTATAATCTAGAAAGAAAGACGCTGAACACTTGGTTCGAAGGGCAGTGAAACCGCTTGGCTGCCTGGGAATCGTGAAGCCATTCGAGCCGAATTGCGTGCCATTGTTTGAGGGCGACGGTCCAGGAACAGCGGCCTGCGCAGCTCCGTGGGCAATCTCAGGCGATGGTGGCCTTGAAGGTGTGCTGGCATCGTAACGGCAATCTCTGCCAGCTCTGCAGCAGAGAGAACAAGCTGGAAGCGCTTTATCGCACCTCCGCTTCTGCCTTCGGCACGTCTGGCACGCTTGGCGATCGGTGCGTACCTTGCGCGGCATGGCACAGTTGATTATAGGATGCACCAAGAGACGTCGGCCTAGGTCTGATCAGAGCGGAAGGAAACGGGGAATTGCAGATGATGTGTAGTGCGGAAAATCGATGCGGGTAATGTTGCGGATAATTGGCGGCCGATGGGGGTGCCCTTCGGCCGCCGGGCTTAAATGCCGCAAGCGGCCGCACAAATGTCCGCCCGCTCAAAGCTACTCGCAAGCATTCAACACTATACCGGGAGCGGTCTTAATATCACCGCATTTGCCACTAGCCGCAAACTTCTTTTGCACATAATGTCGGGTTCCAATCCATTTGCGCATTATTAACGCTATAACATTGTGTCCTAGGGGCAGAGATGGTGAGGGGCGGAGATGGTGAGGGGCGGAGATGGATGTTATTTGATGCTCCATCGAGCGTAGATGATCAGGCAGGACACCAGACTGCCATGGTATAAAAGACATACAAAACCTGCCGCTGTCCAGTTAAGAAATCACACTTTTTGAGCAGCAGTAGCAGCAGCAAAAACGATAAACGCCACTCGAAACGGTTCTCTCAACAGGAAAATGGGCAGTGCCTGGACTAAGCTCATCCCCCCCGCGGCGCATCTAACGGAGAAGAATCTGCCAGACCAGACAGGCAAGGTAAGTTCCTGATTTGTGTCGGCTGCTGAAAAACCAATTGCATTGCTTCCATTCTTGCGCGCACACGACTGATGATCCAGTCATGCCTGTGCCCACCATTGCTGATCTGACACATCTAGGTCTTCATCGTCACTGGCTCCTCCTCTGGCGTGGGCAGGGAGCTTGCGCAGATTCTGTACTCACACAATGCCAAAGTCTATGTTGCCGCTAGGTCGGCTAGCAAAGCTGCCGCAGCCATTCAATCCATCAAGACCAACTTCCCCAATGCTAAAGGCGAATTAATCTTCTTGGACCTCGATCTTAGTGACCTCGAAACGATCAAGCAATCCGCCAACGAGTTTCTGACCAAGGAGAGCAGGCTGGACGTGCTCTTCAACAACGCCGGCGTCATGTGTCCTCCGCAAGGGAGCAAAACGAAGCAGGGCTACGAATTGCAGATCGGGACGAACAACCTCGCGCCGTACCTCTTCTCGAAGCTCCTGACTCCGCTCCTGCTTAAGACTGCAAAGACCGCCCCGGCAGGCTCGGTGCGCATTGTCTGGGTGAGCTCCGCCGCAGCAGAGATGATGTCTCCTCAGGGAGGTGTGAACATGCAGAACCTGGACTACAAGGTCGACCAGAGCATGTGGTACAAGTACGGTGTGAGCAAGGCGGGAAACTACTACCACGCCACGACGTTCGCCAAGAAATATGGGAGCGAGGGTCTCATCAGCGTTGTCAGTCTTGTTACAGAATATTTTGTAAGCTCCCGCTAACTTTCACAAGGCTTGCGATCCAGGCAATCTGAAGACCGATCTCCAGCGAAACATGTCTAAATTGCATCTCCTCCTCATTGGCTGGTCTCAATACCACCCGATATACGGCTCATATACCGAGATGTTCAGCGGCCTGTCACCAGAAGTGACGTTGGAGAGAAATGGAGCCTGGAGTTGGTTACCCTTATCGTGCAAACTGATATGTGCGCTAACAAACGAAAGTCGCTCCTTGGGGCCGATTCGTAGATATCAGGAAAGACCTCGCCGCTGGTCACAAGACCAGGGCCGAGGGCGGCACGGGCATCGCCGACGCCTTTGCCGAGTGGACTGAAGAGCAAATAAGGCCGTACCAATAGCCGAGTTGCACAATGATCTCTGGTTGTGCCAGCATCGAGCCTTCTCCTGTCGATGTTCTGACAGGTATCAAGAGAAAATAGTCGACGTGTATAAGATTAAAGCTCATTCTAAATAACCTATTCGTAAGAACTGTGACAGGAAGCAAGTTTTTACGCGTACTTCGTAAGAGAGACAGCGAGGTACTACATATTTGTTAAAGCACAGGATTTCGATTCTCAAATGTACAAACGCCTCAAGATCTTGAGACATCCCACAACTTGGCTTACCTTGCACGGACAGGTACTTATCGTGGCTTTGGATACGCAGATCATCGCAGATCATAAGTTCAACTGTCAAGTCTTGAGATATTCTGAGGATTAACTTGCGCTTCTTGTAGAGCCCGATATAGGCTGGGTAAACCCTTCTCATACTTGGCGCCTACTGAGGCTGGCGACTGGCGGACCTTCAGCAGCGAGGAGGCTCTTGAACAGCACCTCCGTGATTCACCAGTCCACATCTCGTCCTTCGACTGCGAGACCTACATTTGCGCCTGCTCCTGCTGCGGCCTAACATCAGGGGGTGGGAACATGGTCAAATGCTTTTTCCTTTTGAAATGTGCATTTGCCGGGGATCACTTTTGTCGCATGTCGATGTCAATCTGATGGGCGACATGCTAAGCATTCGGTATAAGCTGTAGCAAACAGAAGGAAGAGTATCCCCGCGCTTCGCTGACGGACAATAGCCGAATGCAACGGATGCGACGGAAAGGGGTTAGCGCCTGATGGCGATCCTGTTGGCTCTGACTCAACCCATGCTACACTTTCCACATCAGCAGCACAAGGTTTGGTACTGAGGTGGTGTATCTAAGCCGGTTCTGGAGGTATTTTGCCCATCAGATGGACCGGCAAAGGAGGTAAACCGATGTTTAAACGTGAACGCAAGCCGTGGTCATCACAACTGCTATGGATCGCCGCATGCGGGTGCCACTCTGCGCTTATTTAGTAGTGGTTCTAGATAAGAAAGGTGCCTAACTGTCGAGCCCCAGCGACTATTTCGTCACCTATCTGTGACTGCATATAGAGATTGTCATACCTGCGGTACTATGGGCCAGGGAACTCGGACTAGGAACTAGATTTTGCGGCTCACTGGCCGTCACTGCGCAGGCTTCACCTGGAGTAGATGATTGTGAGAGGGTAACCAATGTTTGTGACCCGCAATTGAAGAGCTTTTGTTTCGCTTGGGATGACCTTTGCCCAGCGCGCGGTAAAGAATCTGAAATAAGTTCCAGCGAGTCGTCCACTTCGCTACACTACGTTGCAAGTTGTCAGAAACCGCCTTAGGGTGAACAACCTAGCTTTACAGCAGAAGCAAGGGCCGATTAAGCCAGGCAAATTACCAATCGCGGAACCTAGGCACCTAAATGTGCAGCGTCAATGTGTACCAGGATTGCCGCTTGATGGCGGTGGTGAGTCGACCAGATCAATGGCGCCCCAGGGAAAGAAACCCCAGGGATATGGTCTCTTTGAGAGGGCGCCTAGGGAAATGGCAGCCCCAGGGAAATGACCCCAGGGAAATGGCCCTAGGGACAGGGCACCACCTTCCCAGCTTAGCCAGTCCCATGTTCCTCGAATCCGCGCGGGTTGGGTGGCTGGGGTCGTCCCACAAGACCTAAGTTGCGGCCCTAAGCGGTGGCAACCTATTACGACAACCTACTACGAACCACATGTGTGTGTCCCGTCGCCTCGCCAAGGACTCACCGTCGCGATCGCCTCGAAGTTTGCCCCCGACCCAATTACGCGATACCGCACGACGACCGAAACGGAGCGTAGACGGAGTGGCAACGCTGTCGTGAGCCGCTATCACGTCCCTCTCATGGCGACCTCGACAATATCAGGACCGTCAAGTCGCGGCCGTTATGCTGTGCCACTTTCAACGACATTTCCGGCTAATGGCATATCGCGGTGTTGGCATTCCGCCACAGCCAGCGCGGCCTCATCAGTAAGCACCATATAATTCGACTGTTTTAGGTTCTCCATTAAACAATGACTAGGGTTCATGTTTCCATCCCCCATCTCTCACTCCCTTTGAAGTCCATCCTACGGGGTCACTCAATGCGAATCAATGCATATACTACAATAGTCCTCGACTTTATGACAAAGTTCATGCCCCACTGACCCGTGCTAACAGTCACCAGGCGGACGCGTCCAAATCCGTTGGGCCCTGTCACATTCACGATAGGATGCGACAAAGAAAACCAGCCTTGAAAGACAAGCTTCTCTTGAAAGACAAGCTTCCAAACGCATTATGTCTTCTTTACGATCAGTCTTTCTGCATCGACCACCAAGGGAGAGAGAGGCGTATCTGTGAAATCAATCACGAGACATCTTATCGTAATCATCCGGAACTTCAAGGTCCTATTCATCGAAGATATGAGGACTGGAAAAGGGATCATGAGCAGATGATTATGATGAGGCCTCTGGGGATGAGAGGTTGATGGGTGTGTGGTCAGTTGAGGATAAGGATGGCCGGGGAAAGCAAAATGACGGAAAGGAACGCTGTGTTGGAAACAAGTTGCGGGGAGCACTGGGCTAGACAATGACAGAGTCTGCAGCTGTAACTAATACGAAGGGAAGAATGGCAAATGCGACAATCTCGAGTTAAGTCAGCTGTGCTATCACCATAGGCATAAATGGCATAATAAACCAGTGGCTGCCAGAGCTGACGATATCACGGCGTGGCACGCCCGTTGCAGCCTTGCCCACAATCTTCCTATTGCAGCTCTTCACAGCGGCTTCCCCCACCACGAGTCTCAAGGTAGGTATCGTGCGCAGCAGCTCTGGGTTCCGAACCCTTGGCGGCACACTCTCTAGACATCAGAACCCTCCATCCTTAAAAGAGCATCATGAGCTAGATATTTGCTATAACAAAACGTATGTCATGCTTTTGAAATCTTGTATAAACTCAAAACTCGAGTCAGGAGCAGCAGATAGGCACTTCGTTTCGAGGCCTGTTAATTATAAGTTTTTCAGAATGTGCAGGTCGGGAGGCTGCCGACGGCTTTCAATGATCAAAGTTTTGAAGCATTCACGGCGCTGAGCATTTCCCTCCTACTAATAGCACCGCTGTATCGTGTGGGCCAACTTGCATCGACACTCTCTCCATGCACCCGATGTCTTCACCGGACCACATGTTCTTGACCCAATAGCTGAAGCCACCAGGAAGACCTGGCACCTCACCCCAGTTGGCAACCTTGAACTCGGTATTGTTGAAGGGATTGAACATCAGGACCAAAAAGCCTTGTGAAGACTGACCAGCATAAAACTCTGCAAGAAATGTTTTATTGTAGGTCCAATCCTGCACCTCGGTAGCAACCTGAAACAACGACAACTAGATAAAAGCCGGTGACTAGTCCAATAGGTCGACTTACAGGGTTAGTACCCCATTTGTAGGGTGTCGCGGGCTTCCCGAAGATCGGATCTTGGTTGAAGTCAATTAGGTCCTTGTTCTTGAGAATGGCGAGCTCTCTCTCGCTCAAATCCTCGAGCGGCGTGCTGATCAAAAGCGGGCTCTTGAGGGCTGCCCAAAGCGAGAAATGCGTCCTTGCTTCAGCCAGGGACAGGTTTCCGTTACCAACTGCGAGATAGTCACTCAGTCAAGGTGCACCTCACTTTATAGAACTTCGCCTTCGCTGGAGACCAAACTTACTTTGCAGCATGTCCATATCATTGTGACCCCAGAAGTCCACATAGTTTAAATAGAACGTATTGTACGCCAGAATCTCGATAATTCGGACCCAGTTTGCTATAAAGCTTGTTAGCAACGCGTTGAAGGGCCCCGGGCGGGTACTCTTCTCATACCGTCGATGTCGTCCGTCATCCTCCAAGACACGGCCGTTTCGTTGCCCCATTGCTCGACGTGCGCCTGGCCCCAGTTACAAATACTGAGAACGATGGTGCGATTTAACTTGGCCAGCGCGTCCCTCATCCGGTCATGTCGAACCTTTTGCGAAGACCACTTCCAGTTCCACCACTCGGGGGGTTGGCGAGTCATATCGGCGCAGGTGCCGTTCTGGCCCCACGGGCGATCATAGTCTGGATGACAACCATTCCAAAGGTCCTGCGCCCAGGTCTCGGGTATGTTGCAGTTGTCGACCTTGACATAATCCATGCACCATTCATCCCAAGTCATGGCGTCAATCTCCTCATAGTAAAGACTGCCAGATCGCTTCCCGCAGGTATAAGTACCGGAGTCTGCGTAAATTCCAATCTTGAGGCCAAGTTCATGGACATCGTCAGCGACGGACTTCAAGCCGCCAGGGAACGTTTCCTCATTATGTCTTAGTCGCAAGGTTTTGTTATCACGGCCAATCTCCGCAGCTGACCACCATTCATCCATGTTAACGTACTCGTAGCCTAGCTCGGAGAGACCAAGCTCGATGAGTTGCTCTGCTGTGCGAATGAAGTTATCGCGCGTCAATGCACTGCCATAGGCATTATATCAGTTCCATCCCAATGCCGGCAGTCGCCCTGATCCATCAGCGGTAATAATAGCCCGGGCAACGTACGAGCTTGCAAAGAGAAGACTGGCAAGCCAGAGAAACATCTTCAATGAATAGATAAATATACGGAAGAATTATCGAGTATAGTCAACCAATACTTGCCGCGGAAGCTTGCAGTGATTCTGAATATGAGCTTGGTCATTCTTGATTCTATACCTCGTCAACAGTAAAGCCACAAGACTCTCAAGTGGCAATAAGGACACCCGAGATTCCTATACTACGAAAGGAGCGCGGGCAAACAGATTCCAGGACCGTATTCACCTATACAATGCACACTACTAGTTTGTGAGTATTAGGCCAATAGGTACTCCTTACGTTAGTAAGACACCGACTGAGATCACCGGCTTCCTAGAAAGGGACATTTCTCACCACGGAACCCCGGAGAATCGGGAGCCCCGGAGAGCCCGGAACTCCGGGGAACCTGGAACTCAAACGAAGCAAAGTTCACGCCTAATACATTATGGTGTCCTTCGATATTTCCATGTTTAGCCGCGCCATTGAGCGATCTTAACGGTAGAGTTTCCCACCGATGAAAATCACCCCCGGTGCTAGTAAGCCGAGGCCCTTCAATCTAGATCTTAGGCCCCACGTATCTACAAGATCGACATTCACTCTAAGCGAGTCGGGTGCATTAGTTTGCGGTAGTGACCATCGAAAGGACCCATGGCTTGATGGGCACGAAATGGAGAGTGAAGCAGGAGCGGGGCAGTCGCAGACTTGTGACACAGCTAGTTATTGATCTAGCAAACAAAATACAATCTATTGCCACGATTTATGCCTAATCAGATCCATATATCTTGCATAGTGACATTCCAAGAGTCGGTAGCTCTAACGGAACGTCAGTACCTATCAATAGAAGGGCCGTGCCTAGCTTAACAGCAGCTATTAACAGAAGTAATATCACATAGGTTTTCGTGGCGAACAGGCTACGGTCATAGAGTGGCACTAAACAAAGGCTGACAGTAGGGAGGCACGAGAAAACATCTTGCTACCAGGGACTGACATTACGTGGCCTTTGCTATCTCCCTTGGAGTTACCATAGTCGTCCGCGAGCGTTGGCCCGAGAACTCCGTCGGTGAACCAGCGCAGAGACTATTGCTGAGTTGCCCCTAAATCCCAAACCCCAGTGAGCATACTTGCGTAGCTTCGGCGGATCGTCCCGCGGCGCGCCCTTTGTGGCATGGCCCAGAATTCAGGCGCTCGCCGGGTACCACAACTCCTGTTTTCTAGTGTATCCTCTGATAGTGTATCCTCTGAGTGGCATAAGCAAAGATGAACAAGACGCCCCGTAGAGAGCGAGCAGCCTTGTCGGTGCAGGGTAGGTAGGATCTGGTATGTCGGGTGTGATAGTGAGTTCTCATATTGGCGCTAAGCTTGAAGAGATTCTGCCGTGAGCGGTCAAGGCGCTGGGGACCTAGACCATGTTAAGGAAATAGAGCGAGATTACAGCTAAAGGAACTAAAACGAGCTAAAAGCAGGGGTTAAGGTAGACGAAAGCGCTCTCGAGCGTTAGATTCATATATACAAAGCGCATATATAGCCCTTACGGCATTTATCTCTTTTATATCGAATAAGGCACCTGAACAACCTTCTCCATAACGTATCACACCATCCGTACTTTTATTTGCGCACCTAGTAGCAGGCTATTCATGGCATAGCCATCACGTGTCGCTCACCTATAAGATAAATCTACCACCAATTCAGCCGCCGAATAAGGCACGTTCCGTCCCAGCACCCCGTTCTTCAAGCTTATTACAAGCCATGCCCTTCAAATACAGACAGTACTCGCTTCGACAACATCGAACCGACTAAAGCCTTCGCAAATTCACCCTTTTCCTCTACCAAGTTTTGAAAATCCGACCTATGCCACAAGGCATCCACCCGACAAGCAGCATAGTGTACCACCATATTCTTCAGGACCTCCGGCATTGGACTTTGATAACAAAATTGGATCAACGCCGTAATATCGTCCAAAACGCCATCGTTTGCCTTGAATTCGACCAGAATTTGATAAAGATTTTAAATAGCCATAATCGAAAGCGTGCTGATACTATACTTATCTACCAGAACATAGACCTTTGCGTGATGGATCATAATATCTCCAAGGCACTTAACTTCTTCAGCCCTATAGCGGGACGTAGATCTCGCCGGGCTCGAGGTAGCCGAATTCCATAACGCTAAGAAATCTTCCCACATAGTGGCTCTGCTAGACAGCGTCGTTGAAGGAAAGCCCTCCTCATAGTCACCGTACCATAGTGGCTTTCTCTTCTTCTTTATTTTCTTTCTGGCAGAGGTCACGGTGACAGTACTTTATACGTCATCCCAAGGCACCATCTTCTCCGGCTCCGCTGGCTGTTCAAAAATCTAAGGCGGTTGAACTTTTGAATCGCCAGGAGTTACAGGTTCGGTGTAGCTTCCTGTATAGACGAATTCGCAGAAGCTCGAGAAAGTCTTCTCGTCGATATCATCCCACGTCACGCAATATTCAATGGATTCCTAAAGGCCATTGCGCACCATTGCGTTCAGCGCGGGGGATTGTTAGGCCACCAGAACGGAGTGAATAGTAAATTCTTAGTTATTAGGGCCAACGAGGAAGCGAAATATTTTCGAGGACGCAGCTCTAGGAGTATAATCATGTAAGCATCATCAAACCACATATTCTATCCAAAGCAAGTAAGTCCTAATAGGGAGTTACTAACGTGCTCATCGATATAGTCTCCATATTACGTTCTACTCCAGTACGACATTGAATATAGCCAGACAGATTCTAAGGGGAGCTTAAAGTAGAATGCAACCTTGTTCGTAATGCTTCAAAAGCAGGCGGAGGCGCTTCCTAAACCTGGTCGTGTTGATGCTTCAGGTTCAAGCTGGGCTGGTGCGGGACAACGAAGTGACTCTACACAACTGCAGCAGATGTGCTTGCTCGTGAGCTGCTGACATAAGCTTCCTAGCACATTGTATACCCCCTCTCTGGGTTAACCCCGAACGCCGCGCTGGGCCAGTCGCGAGTTCGCTTGGCTTGGTCATTAATGTCATCCACACGTCATCGCGTGACCCAGAAAGCAAGAAGTATCATAAACTGGACTCCGATGTCATGAATAATGTGATTGAATATGCGGAGGAAGGGCATTCAATAACCAATCATCATCATATGCCCCCTGAACTTCGCAGTACATAAATGCGAAATCGAAGAGGTTGCGTAGCGGCAACGGAAGCGGATGGAATCTGATACACCGTCAATCAACATCCATCTGCGCTGTGAAATCAAGCGGAAGCTGAACCTGAATTAACTGCCAATTGTAACATGTACCAGACAACATGTATATCACTGCAGAGTGCCAGTGCCTCCCAATCCTTTGCTAACCATATTCTCGACGCTTTCTTCCTCGACTTTGAGTACTCCATCGCTATCAACAATATCTCGGCCCTCGAAGACTTATATCCGCGTATTCTAACTAAGATAGATAGGCAGAAACTTAGTATTTAGCTAGACTTCTAAGGTAAATATAGAATCCTAAATCTAAGCAAACTCCTATAAGTCCTTCCTTTTATAACGCTTAGCTTTATTAACGCCCCCGGTAGTAAGGCTCTAGAACCCGCGACTACCCCTTCGTTTAATCTAGGTATATTCTAGGTCGAAAAGTATAATCCTTACTCCACGAAGGTTAAGAGCGCTACCTAGATTAGGTAGTTAAACACTCGACCCGCGTGCCTTATTTAGCTTCTTAACCTTAGTACTATTCCGTCTGCCTTTGCTAGTGATAGTCTTCTCGCTAATATCTCGCTTTCTTATATTCCTCGCTACCTTCCCTTGGTCGGGTTTAGTAACCTCTAGCGCTAGGGGTATTATATTCGCCTTAGTAATGCTTTTAGTAAGAACGTAGGTTATAGCGAGTACTTTACTACTTACTAATTCTATTTCGCTTATATCGTTATTTAGGCTTTTAGTGCTTTTAGGTATGCCGATACTAGAGGACCGCTAGATAATTCGTTCCTTATTATACGGATAGTATAGAGTTAAGAAATCGAAAGGGATAACTTCTCCGCTTAAGAATTCGGTAAAATCGACGTTATTATATATTTTATATCCCGTAGGCAAGAACTAAATAGGATCTTAGGGAGTCGCACTAGCTATATTATAATTATTAATAGTCTATCTTTTAAAGTATAAGTTATCTAGTTATTAAGGAATTAAAGTAGTAACTAGGATTAGGGACTCTATCCCCTTTATTATACTCTTATATCTATAATATAATATATATCTAAAGCTATTAGCGTCTTACGTATAGTCTTAATCGTTATGATCTTCTATTACTAGCGATAAGGCGCACTTCGTATACCTCTCGCGTCCGTGGTACTTAAGTATAGCCGTTCTAGGCCTATAGTGGTAACGGTAAGGCCCGGCTGATATAGCCTAGCTAACCTACCCCTGACCCGAGGCTTAGAAGATCCTAGCACTAGGTAGTATATAGTCGCATTAAAGGCTATTAAGTCTATTTATAGGTCACTATAACGTCTTATTAACGGCTTAAGTGGGCGTTTTAGTGTTAGGTGGTCCTACGTGGCCTCGGCCTGACCTTAAAGCTTGCTTCAAAAGCTAAGATAGAGACCCGGACTAACTAGCACTATATGACAGAAGCAAGGTAGTGTCTGGTCGCATCACGGGCCAGTATTTCTATTTTAAGGCCACCATAACGTCTCTGCACCGGCTTGAGTAGGCGTTTTGGTGTCAGGTGGTCCTACGTGGCCTCCGCCTGGCCTTTGAAGTGACCTTCAAAGGCTGAGATGGAAACCTGAACCAACTGCCACTGCATGACAAATACGAATCTAGGCAGTATTTGGTCGCATCATGGGCCAGTATGTCCATTTTGAGGCCACCCTAACGTCTCAGAGAAGATTCGAGTGGGTGCGTTAGCGTATGTAGTCCTACGTAACCTGCATAGCAGCGCTATGAAAACATGCATCCGATGACGATCCAGGCCAGGGGCGGAGCTGATCAGGGGCATATCCAGCCAACACAAGGGCAACCTCCCTTCAGCGACCCGGCGTACTTTCAAGCCACTTGGCCGGGAATGTGGCTGTCGGGGCTTCTTCTGTTTCGCGTTTAGGGATCGGATGGAAGTTCTGATGCCTGACTAGCCCTCGTTGAATCCTCAGCCGGCCTCCTAGGCTCACTAGGTGGACTATCGTCTGTTGCGCCGCTCAAGATACGTACGTGTCATGGCAGCTTGGACATAGCCAACGAACACATGCGTATTAGCCTCGTGTATAGTGTAACGCCAATTAGTGCCTGGTGCGGTGAAATCACCTAATTGTAACAAGTATAAAGCCAGGCATTCCCGTTCAAGGTTCACTCCTCTCTTCTACCGCTCAGCACGAACTAAGATACTAGCTATTTATCTTGTTTCTACTTACCATTTACTATAATGTCGTCCTAAGATATTGCTATAACTATCTGCCCTAAGGACTTATCGTACTCTGATTTAATAACCCGGTCGAGAAAACGGTCGCCTTCCACGGGATCGCTTACTAAGAATATTTATTCCCTACCTTAATCTAAGATACTATACTAACGTAAATAACTAAGAAAATAAAAGACCTAAAGTCCTCGATCCCTTAGAGTATAATAAGACGTTTGCTAACGACGGTGATAATATATATTATAGTTATAAGAGCGGAAGTAATAGTAACGCGGAACTTACGATTCCTTTCGCTTAAACCACGGAAAATAATTATTCTCTAGTAGCTAATCTAGCGGAGGAGGCGGACCTGCTAAACTCTAAGTAGGTCGTTATTAACTTCTTCCTTTACTACTCCTATACTAGTTATATTAAAGTTATAAAGCCGAAAAACTTCTTAACGATACCTTTAGGAGACTTAGTGGGTCTTATCCCCCTAGAACTTCCCGGGGACTATACGTGGGAAAGTATAACGCATATCTACGTTAGTCTGACTATAGACGACGGCGCACTGTCGACCGAATCTATGCCTATAAAGCAGAAGCTAAGTATCTTAGCTTCTGAGTTCAAGGAAGTATAGTTAAACTTTGCGTCTTACGTGGAGAATAATGCGTTAAGCTTGGAGATCGGGCAAAAGCTAGTTATCTCCGCCACGATTGGTCTCTGGCATGATATGTATTGGAATATCTCTCAGCGGAGTGATAGCTCTTTGTAGAGCCAGCCTCTGTTAAAGGATAGCTTTGTTTGCAATACTATACGCTATTCCTTGAAGATCTAAATTGCCCAAGCCTGTCGTGCGTGAACGCCTCGATGACTTATGCCGGTCCAGCATCATACTCACTTGGCTCGAGTGACGTCCCGACTGCGGCTACAGAGAAATGTATGTTAAAGGACGGAAGAGTGGCGTTTGGTATTTTAGGTGCTAAGCTCTTCGTTCGGCGTTACTATATCGTTAGACGGACAGTCGGGATAGTAGACGAAGTTCCCTATAAAGGCATTCATTAACTTCCCTATGTTAAGGGTAAAGCATCCGAAGTACTTTATATCGATATAGTCGTAATAGCTATACTTTGTGTGTAGATAGAGTTTATAGTCCTTGTATTAGTTATATATCTTAATAATCCCTTTCGCTCTTCTTTTACACTTAATGCACTATTTAATAAGAATAATATATATCTTTTTTAATCGTATATTAGTTAATAAAATGCCGTTGAGAACCCGAGACACGAGTGGATTGTGTCGAATACTAGTTAACTAAATAAATACTTAACTAAAAAAAACACTATACTTAGCTCCGAATAAATTTTTAAAAACGCATAAAATTTTACTTTTTTTTTAGTAGACCTATATTTATTTAAGTAATTATTACGGAAAACGCGTCTAAAATATATCTATCTATAGTAATAACGCCTAAGTAGCTATAAGTTAATAATAGCCCGGAATATATTAATAAGCACGCTATATACCTTAAGGAAGTATATAACTAACTATAGGCCGTAGATAAAGGTAGAAATAACTAAGTACTATAGAATATTATATAAATATA